ACTTTTCCCAATTTTAGACAGCAATCTTCCAGAGGCTCAGTGCATGAAATTTGTGCACTTGGGGCGCTCCCTCAGCCCAACCTGCACTCTCGCGCAGTCCAGGAGCTTCGAGAGGATGTCCAAACTGATGGCTTAGGCCCGCTCCCATTGGGAGCGGGCCTAAGCCATCAGTTGGACATCCTTAGCACTGCCGTGGAGGCAGGAGAGGCTCCCACCACCGCCGCTGCGCTCGCCAACCGTTAGCCCAGCTCAGAGCTTCTGGCTGAGTGGTGCTCCCCCTGTGGGAGTGCACTGATCACCAGGAGGCAGCTCCTGCGTTGAGCATCTGCTGCCCCCCTGGTGGTCAGTGCATGTCATAGAGACTGGTCTTTCCATCGTTCGGTCGATTTGCATATTAGCCTTTTATAATATAGGATATTGCAAATTTATTAACTTTTGCAAGAATCAAGTTTCGCCTGAGGAAAATACTGTAAAAATTAGCAATGGTTGTATAAAATACAAAGTGGAGAGAGAGACCATTACTTGATGTTTTTTATCCTTTTCTATTTTAATTGTAGCATGATATGTGATGTTTTTAAAAAATTAAAATATCATCTACATAGAGTGAAATTCACCCATTTTAAAGCGGTCTTCTAAGTTTTGACATTTGGTTTCGTTACTACCACCACAATCAAGATCTAGAACACTTCCATCATACCCCCAAATTTTCTTGTGCCTTTTTAAAATCAGCTCCTCCCTCTACTTCCAGAATGTGGCAACCACTGGTTTGTTTTCTGTCCCTATAGTTTTGCTTTTTTCAGAATGTTCTAAAAATGGAATCATGTATCTGTTTCTTTCATTTAGCACATGCATTTGAGATTTATCTATGTTGGTTGTGTGGATGTGTGTGGTAGTAGTTTTTTTTTTTGTTTGCTGACTAGTATTCCACGGTATGGGTATATGTTACCTATTCACTAGTTTAAAGACATTTGAATTTCCAGTTGTCAATTATGAATAAACTACTATAAATATTTATGTATAAGTTCTTGCATGAAAATAAGACACTAAAAATAAGGACCCATGAAAAGAGAAAAATCCTCTTGCAAGTTGCTTCTGAAAATGCATAGCCTTTTCCCCTTCCCTTTAATGATTTTTATCTTTTCCTGCCATATTATTCCCTGAACGTTCTCCTTTTCTGACAAAGTTCTACTACTTTCCCACTGTCCTTTTACCATATACTGTTGTCCTCATCCTATCATCTCCCCTCCTGATCCCAAACTACAGTGATTTATTGGGTGCTTGCCTTTAATCAGTATATTCCCTTTTTCTAGGTAGAGAAACAGACATAAATGTGAAAAACATTGTTAATAGATGAAATTCACTTACCCTCAAGTCTAATCTTATTTCTTTGATATTGTGATATAGTTTAATTTTTACTCATTTCTAAGTGTTTTTTTAATATCTAATTTCTTTAGGCCATAATTTTATGTTTATTAAATTTCAATATTTTTACTTAGCTAAAAAGATTAACCTGCTCATCCTGGTGCTTTAAGAACAAATTTTACTCTGTGTTATGTACCACTTGCAAACCACCAAGGGAGTCTTCAGCTTTGCAGTAGTAAAAGCAGTGAAAGAAAGGATGTTGCCTGGAGACAGATACTGGATGGTGGGAATTTGGGAAATGCTCATCTGATTTTTTCTTTGAAGTAGGGAACAAGGTTGTCAGCTAAAAGTGAGGTTGGAAAAAAGGATCAGAAGTATGAGGAGAGGAAACTAGTAGGAATGAATTTTCTAGGAAAGTGGGAAAGAGAATGGTGTGGTGTGTGGACATTAAAATCACCAGGATTGGGAAGTTTTGTTGGAGAGAGTGACAGTAAGGCAGAAGTTAAAATCTTTGTGAAATGGGGAGTGACCTCTCTGGAGCAGTGAATGCTTGCAGTTAGAGGGAAGTATAGTCTCATGTAACCTTCAAAACAGGCTTCATGATAAAGAAGGGAGAATGGAGGACACCTACCCCTCTCCAGGATCTTCTGGTTGTACTATTTGAGAGGACTATAGAGATGGCCCATATTTTATGGAAAAATTAGAGCAATGTGGAAAAGGAAAGTATTTAGGGGATTTTGTCAATCACTGATGACTGACTTTGGGGCACAGTGAAAGGGTTTTAGAAGACAGGAGATGGGGTCAGAAAAAGGGATTAAACATATGGTTTGGAGAGATAAGATCATGTAAGTAGAGATATAGTGGAAGAGATCCTCATGAATTAGCCCAAATAAAAGAGAATGAGTAGACACTGGACACTTAAAAAAAGGGGGGTGGGGGGCTTTATAGACATGAAGAAGTAGCTGTTCTTTTTTTAAAAATGTATTTTATTGATTTTTTACAGAGAGGAAGGGAGAGGGATAGAGAGTTAGAAATATCGATGAGAGAGAAACATCGATCAGCTGCCTCCTGCACACCCTCTACTGGGGATGTGCCCGCACCCAAGGTACACGCCCTTGACTGGAATCGAACCCCGGACCCTTCAGTTCGCATGCCGAAGCTCTATCCACTGAGCCAAACCAGTTAGGGTGAAGTAGCTGTTCTTTATCTGTCCTGAAGACAGAACAAGGGAAGAGGCCATTCTAGTTGTATGCTGGTGTTAGAGGAAAGGTAGAAGAGAGTTTTCCCTTTCTTTGTCTCTGAGACATTTCAAGAGTAAGGCTGTTTTCTCTCCAGAGATTGTGTATTTCCTGTGGTACCTTTGGTAAATTTTGAAATGAGCATGTCAAATGAGTGTCATAACAAGCATGTCATATTACTTATGTTTGATATCTGTGGCAAATTAAATATAGTTTACATTGATTTTTAAAAATCATTGTTAATTAGAAGCATATGAGTTATTCTGGTGTTTGTTAACATTGAAGATTTTTAATGTTTTTTATAATTTAACAGGTTGCAGTATTTTACAGAGCTAGTCCAAGGCACAAGATGAAAATTATTAAGGTGGGTCTCTAAGAATCCAATTGTTTAAGTTTTATATCCAAAATGCTACTTCTTATCTTAAATTATTTTTGCCTTACTAGGAATATTTGATAGAATATTAAAGTCAGAAGTACTATAAAACAAAACAGGTGATTTTTTTTAGAACCTGAAATGGAATTTAGTTAGCAAAGGAAGATGTAGAAGAAAACTTGAATGAGATGTCTGCAAACTAACTTTAAGCAATTGAACAATGTAGAAGTCTGTTCTGGTAGTCGGTGCACATCATAGCAACCAGTTGTTCGCTATTCTGTCGATTTACGTTAGCCTTTTATTATATAGAATTTACTAGAGGCCTGATGCACGAAATTTGTGCATGGGTGTGGTCCCTAGGCCTGGCCAGTGACTGGGGCCCATCAAGTTCCCTACCTCTCCACCACCTCCTTTTCTTGCCACCCACGCACTGCCACCGTGCAGTCCCCACCTCCTCCCCTCCTCTCACCACCTGCATTCACCGCCACCTACCCCTGGTCCCGATCGGGGCCTGCTCACCAGGGTGAGAGATTGGGAGGTTGCCAGCAGGCCCTGATCAGGCGATGGGGGCCTGCTGGCTGGTGGGAGGGGACGGGGGAAGTTGGCTGGCCGGCCCTGCCCTCAATCGGGGTGGGGGGGCTGGTCGGGGCAGGGCTGGCCGGGGGGAGGGGCCGCGGGAGGTTTGGGGTCCGATCAGGGCCCCATATCCGCCAGTTGTCCACTGCAGTGCACATCATAGCGACTGGTCGTTCCATTATTTCGGTCGCTTGGCTTTTATATATATAGATTTTAAATATGTTTTTATTGATTTCAGAGAGGAAGGGAGAGGGAGAGATAGAAACATCAATGATGAGAGGGAATAATTGATTGACTGCCTTCTGCACGCCCCTTACTAGGGATCAAGCCTGCAACCCTAGCATGTGCTCTTGACCAGAATCAAACCCAGGACCCTTCAGTCTGCAGGCTGATGCTCTATCCACTGAGCCAAACTGGCTAGGGTGTTGACTTAAATTATTAATCACTGTAGCCTTCTATTGTATTAGTTCAGAGTTTCTTAACCTTAGCACTATTGACGTTTTGGACTGTATGATGCTTTGTTGTGAGGGGCTGTCCTGTATATTATAGGATGTTTAGCAGCATCCCTGACCCCTACCCTCTAGGTGCCAGGAGCATGATCCTCCAAATCATGACAGTAAAAAATGTCTGCAGACATTTCCAGATGTTCCCTGGAAGGAAAAATTGTCCTTTAGAACCACTGTGTAATTGGCTCTAGATCAGACTTTAGACATACAGTTCTTACACAGTGGGAATATTAATAGAAATGGGTGTGTTTTTTTTAAACAGAAGTGTGTGAGGCACTCTGTTCTTTATTCTCACAAGCCTTTTTTGCTGTTAGTCCTCACCCAAAGATTTTTTCCATTGATTTTCAGAGAGAATGGAATGGGGGGTGGGCAGGGAACATGATGGGAGAGAGACTGTGCCTCCCACATGTGCCCAAACAGGCCAGGATCAAACCTGCAACCCAAGTACTTGACCGGTAATCAACCTGTAACCCCTTGGTGTGCCAGCTGATGCTCCAACCATTAAGCCACGCTGGCCAGGGCCTAATAGAAACTTTTAAAAGTTTTATTTTAAGACCTAAATATATTGAAATTCATTGAAAAACTGATAGTCTATATTATTTCCAATCTTAATCATGTGAAAAAATAGAGAGGATTTGTTTATCACATTATCTCTGTAGAAGCAACATTTTAATCAGAATTCCTCCCTCCCCCTCCCGTCCCCACTGTAGTCTCTACAGAAGAATGGGTCGGTTGTAGCCATGACAGGAGATGGAGTAAATGATGCAGTTGCTCTGAAGGCTGCAGACATTGGAATCGCAATGGGTCAGACTGGCACAGATGTTTGCAAAGAGGCAGCCGACATGATCCTGGTGGATGATGATTTCCAAACCATAATGTAAGTTTCATTTCCGTATCTTCTGATTTGCATCAGAAAGAATCTTCTCCCATCCTTTCCTACACTTCATCTCCAGACAATTTAGGTGGAAAAGAATTAGCAATACGTTATACACTGGATGAATTAAACTATTTTAGTAGGTCAGTTAATCTTATTTTATGGTGTAGTGTGTCGTTTTGGAGAAAATTATTTTGTATGGAATGGAAAGGACAGAATAAATGGCAGGACCATTCATTTAAGAAATATTTACTAAGTATCACATTTTTCTGGCTGTAAGTGTAGTGGCACAGCAGTGAACTTTTATGGGGCTTTTATTCTAGTTAAATTCAGGCTATTAGAAATATGCATGTGCATGGCTGTGTAATTATTAAAAATAATCAAGTTCTCATCCATACCTATTTCCTTTTATCAGTAATTGTTCATGTTGTCAGTGATACAGTTTATTAAGTTAGAGTAACTTTGTTGTTTCAGCCGCAGTTTCTAATTGATTTAAAATTCTTATGTAATACCTGGTGGCTTCAGTTTCAGTGTTCAGATGGGAGTCACCTGAATCTTGTTTTTTGATAATAACCTATCTGCCAACCTGAGTCTTACTCATATCAGTGATACATGTTACTTATTCCCCTGCTGCTTTAGTAACCCACTAGAGGCCTAGTGTACGAAATTCGTGCATGGGTAGGGTCCCTAGGCCTGGCCAGCAATCAGGGCTGATCTATGGGGCGACTGGCAGTGCGATCGACTGGGGCGGGGGGGGGGCTGCTGGAACCTGCCTTGGCCGGCCTGGCGCTGCCTGCTTGCTAGCCCCACCCCCCTACCACCACCGCCTGCTGCTGGTTGCCTCCCTATGTGAGGCGACCAGCAGGGCGATTGGGGGGACCCCGCCTTCACCTGCCTTGGCTGGCCTGGGGCCTATGAGCTGGGGGCAGCTCCTGCGTTGAGCATCTGCCCCCTGGTGGTCAGTGCGTGCCATAGCAACCTGTCGTTCCACCAGGTGTTCCATCGTTCAGTCGATTTGCATATTAGGCTTTTATTGTATAGGATTGTGACCTAAAGTGAAGCATGTGGGAGCTCAGGACTTAGAATTGCCAAGCTCTTATAAGGACATAAGAATTTTTTCTTTCCATCTTAGAATTGTGTGACAATTTTGGAAGAAAGGGGAAATTGTTTACAAAACACATATTTTCCTACATTCAAACAAATGAATTAGATAATTTATATGAATCTTTATATACCATATACTTTATATAATTCTGCTCCTACATATATCTAATTATATATAGTAGCAAAAGATAGCTTAAATTCTATAATCTTATATAACTCATTGCTGTTTATTTGCTGACATACATTAATTTAACCTCTTACCATTCATGCATCTTGAACCTTTAAGAAAAATTAATGTGGGTAAAGAAGATTATTGTTTTAGCATAAGTGTGTAGTATTGTCTTATGTAGAAAGACAATATGGGATTTTAACATTGCAATATATTTTTTTAAGAATAGGAATTTTAATATTGTAGAATGAAACCAGTTTAGGTAGGGCTTTAGAAGTCTTTAATTATGGTTAGATTAATGTTTTCATATTTTTCTAATCTTAATCATGTAGAGAAAATAATATATTCTTTTAGCAAAGTATGTGTTATATCAATTGGAAAATTATTTTTAAATTAGTGTTTTTACTGTGGATATTTTTGCTTTTGTGTGGTACTATTTTCTCACTTAATTTTTTTTTTAATTTCAGGTCTGCAATTGAAGAGGGTAAAGGGATTTATAATAACATTAAAAATTTTGTTAGATTCCAACTGAGCACGTAAGTTTGTAAAATGTTTGTCACCATGAGTCTTATAGATAAACTAGAGGCCCGGTGCATGACATTCATGCACTGAGGGGTGTGGGGGTCCCTCAGCCTGACCTGCACCCTCTCCAATCTGGAAGCCCTCAGGGGAGCCCTCTCCAATCCAGGAGTTTCTGTCTGTCTTTGCAATCATATGAGTGAATTGTCTGAGACCCCAACTTAGTTTGGTTTGTTGCTCACAGAATAATAGAGGCATTTTTTTTTCTTTGCTTCATTGGTGGAGATTTCCTGGAAGTTTTAGAATATCTTCCCTTTAATTTTTCCTAGACACTCTGGTTTTACTTATGTCTCTCACTTTTGCTTTCCCTCCATCCCCCACCGCAACATTAACTCGCTCCAGGCTCACTTTGCTCTAGTGCAGTGGTTCTCAACCTTCCTAATGCCACGACCCTAATGCCCTTTAATACAGTTCCTCATGTTGTGGTGACCCCCAATTTCATTGTTACAAATTGAACATAATTAAAGCATAGTGATTAATTACAAAAACAATATGTAATTATATATGTGTTTTCCGATGGTCTTAGGCGACCCCTGTGAAAGCGTCGTTCGACCCCCAAAGGGGTTGCGACCCACAGGTTGAGAACCGCTGCTCTAGTGTCTAGGAGATCCGTCTGCCACCAGAACTACGATTCCCAGCATTCCTGGTGCTCCCCGCGCTCTGGGCTTCTGCTTCTGGTCCTGGGGCTGCCACCAGAAATACTATTTCCAGAATTCCTGGTGCTCCCCGCACTCTTGGTTTCCCCTTCCTGCTCTGTCTCTGTCCCACGGCCTCCCACTCTGCCAAGTCCTCCAAGCTTCCAGCTCTCCCTCTCTGCTCTCCATCTGGTGGCTTGGGGAGCCAAGTTCCCCAAGTTGCTCCACTCTCCGCTGGCTCTCCTGCTCTGCTCTCCACCTGGAGCCTGTGTATGCAAATTAACCCGCCATGTTTGTTGGGTTAATTTGCATACTCACTCCTGATTGGCTGGTGAGCATAGTGGAGGGACAGTCAATTTACATGTTTCTCTTTTATTATATAGGGCTAGGGGGCCAGTGCATGAATTCGTGCACCTTGACAGGAATTGTGGGCCTCAAGGCTGCAGTGGGCACAGGGGCAGGTCTCGGCCCATCCTCCGCGCCCCTGCCTGGCCCCTCCTACCGTGGCCCCCGGTCCCATCTGCCAGCAGCCCTGCTCCCACTGCCACTGCTCCCACGTGCTGACGGCGCTGGCCCTGCTTGTACCCGCTGATGGTGTGGAGCAATTGGGGCTCGTGCCAGCAATGGGTGAGAGTGGCGGCTGCTGCCCCGATTGCCCCTTAGGAGCAGGGGGAGGTGGAGAAGCCTTCAGGAGTAATCAGGGCTGGCAGCCACCGCTCGCACCTGCTCATGGTGCTGAGCAATTAGGACCGGCGCCAGCAGCAGGTGCAAGCGGGGCTGGTGCCGGCAGTGGGTGTGAGCGGCAGTTCGGGCACTGGCAGAGGCTGTGAGAGGTGGCTGCTGCCCCCGATCACCCCTCAGGAATAGTGGGAGGTGGAGAAGCCCTGAGGGGTGATTGGGGCCGGCAGCCACCACTCGCACCCGCTGCTAGCACCAAGCATTCAGGGCCAGTGCCTGGTGCCGGTAGTGGGTGCGAGCGGTGGCTCTGGCGCCAATAGCGGGTACGAGCGCTGGGCAGGACTGCGGCACATGGGAACAAAGAATTTTCAGTAACCACCAGAGGCTCGCCCCGATGACAGCAACCGGCGCCCCACCTTGGTCTGATGCCCCGCCTCACCTGCTCCACCACCAGCCGTGGCTGACGCTCGCCATGTTTCGCGCTCTGCTGCCTGCTGCTGATGCCCACCATGTTGCACGCGTGCCTCCTGGTGGTCAGCATACATCATAGCGACCGGTTGTTTCGCCGTTTGGTCTATTTGCATATTAGGGTTTTTTATATATCGATTATATGAAAAGTATTATTTAAGCAGAATGCCTAGAGGCTTCTGGGCTATCTTCCTGAAGTTTGTTTAATTAAAAAATTAAAAATGGCATGTCTAATAGGTTCTTTTTAAAAATATATTTTTATTGATTTCAGAGCGGAAGGGAGAGAGGGAGAGAGGGAGAGAAACATCAATGATGAGAGAATCATTGATTGACTACCTCCTGCATGCCCCCCACTGGGGATCAAGCCCACCAGCCCAGCATGTGCCCTTGACCAGAATTCAACACAGGACGCTTTAGTCCACAGGCCGATGCTTTATCCACTGAGCCAAACTAGCTAGGGCTCTAATAGGTTCTTAATGTGATACTTAGGTGTCTATGTCACCATCAAAGTATAGAAACTTTTGTGGTTTAATTAATAGCTCCTGAAATAACTAAGGTATTTCAAATCTTAGTGTTTCCTCTTGTTATCATTTTCCAAAAAGCAAAGGGCTTTTCTGTATTCAAAAAAACAGTTACCAAAATAGTGTTGAAACTTAACTGTTATGTAGCAACAGCTATTCTGAACTCAGCTTTAAAAATCTTCCTTTATTGTTGTTACATAAACATTTTGAAAATCCTTTATTAAAATACTGTGGATTGTAAGAGTTAACTCCTGGCTTCAAAATCTTCTTGGAAGTACAGGCTTCCTTTAAAAGCACAGTAATAATATGAGATTTTTAAATGCTAAAAAAGTGGTTATTTTAATATTAGTAAGAATTATATTGTGTTGACAGATCTTTTTAAATGACTCTTTTTTTCAACAGGAGTATAGCAGCATTGACTTTAATCTCATTGGCTACATTAATGAACTTTCCTAATCCTCTCAATGCCATGCAGATTTTGTGGATCAATATTATCATGGATGGACCTCCAGCTCAGAGGTAGGAGTTTTTCATGCATAAATTAGAAAGATAAGGAAGATGTGATATTCTCATGATTCAGTTTTACAGACTTCATTCATGGAAAGCGTTAGAAACCTTTCAGCAGCATGTTTGTTATAAATTGTGTGATGTGTGCATATCATTTATTTTCTTTGGGTGCTCACTCATCCATTATGGATCTGAGCCTATACACTGTGTCAGATGCCCAGCCTTACCTTGAAAACAGATCAGGGCAATCCCTGTCCTCAGGAAGTAAGCTTTTTGTTTCTAAGAATGGGATGAATGGAGAAATCTCTGAGTTTAGTGTTACTAGCTAGGCTTTGTTGCCATTTTAGAGACTTGGGGAAAGTATCAAAGAACCTAAGCATCTAAGTATTTTGTTTTATAATAATGGGGCCATAGATGTCACTTCTCAATACAAATAGTCAAAACCTCATTGCATGGAGGGCATTTCAAAGTCCAGTTGGTCAGTCATGTATTTGAGCCCATATTGAAATAAGTAAACTTATATGTAAATGAAATTGGACAATTTTTTAAAAATTTGACTACCAATCTCCTATTAAACTGTGCCAAATAAATAAGAATAAAAGAGGACGGTATAAAATTCGTGGTTATTTTTGAGTAAACAGCCAAGGTTTCCTTTGTGGTTCAATACTTTGTTTTTTAAAGAAAGTATTTAGTTTCCTGCATAACTGATGTTAATCAGGATTGAAAGTAACAAATTTAAACGTTAAAACTTTAAAGTAATTCATTTTTCTGTTTGTTTTGAAGCCTTGGAGTAGAACCAGTGGATAAAGATGTCATTCGTAAACCTCCACGCAACTGGAAGGACAGCATTTTGACCAAAAACCTGATACTTAAAATACTTGTTTCATCAATAATCATTGTTTGTGGGACTTTATTTGTCTTCTGGCGTGAGGTATATTCACTGGATAATCTGCTTTATTAACATATTCTATATGATAAAACTTAGTTATTTTTGTGTGTTACATGGAAGGCTGAAAAATTAGGAGAGCTCTTTGAAAAATTTGATAAAAACATTTAAACGTAGTACAGTTTTGGTAATATTATTATATTTAAAGTCTTAAAAAAAACATTTAAACATAGTTTGATTTCAGCCTTTATGGGTTATTGGAATTTCTGATTAATTTATTAAAGTAATTTAAATCTGCAGAGGACTATCAGATACAATAAAAATTGCTATATGAAAATTTGGGGAGACGTTAAAATATCTGAGTTTTTAGCTACTTTGTCATCAAAAAAGAAAGTTGCTTTAATATCTATTATATGGTTTGTGAGAAGACTTTTTTACTTTATGGTGACTATAGCTATTCATTAGTTGACTTTATTTATTTATTTAATTTATTTTTAATCTTCATCCTAGGATATGTGTTTGTTTGTTTTTTAATTGATTTTAGAGAGGTGGGAAGGGAGAGGGAGAGGACGAAGGAAAGGGAGAAGGAGAGGGAGAGAGAGAACCACCACATCGATGTGAGAGAGAAACATGGATTAGTTGCCTCCGGTATGTGCCCTGACTGGGGATTGAACCTGCAATCTTTGGTGTAGGGGACGAACACTCCAACCAATTGAGCCACCTGGCCAAGGCATTAGGTAACATTTAAATCGCATATAGGAAATTATGTAGCTTACATGTTTTTATATCATAAGACTAAAGCTATTTTATCTGAATGGAAAGAAAATTTTAGCCTTTTAAACACATGCAGTATTTATCCATTAAATTCAGCCACTAAAAATCATTTTTTTCTCTTGGCAGCTACGAGACAATGTGATAACACCTCGAGACACAACAATGACCTTCACATGCTTTGTGTTTTTTGACATGTTCAATGCACTAAGCTCTAGATCCCAGGTATGCTGACTGATTCAGTTAGGTAGAGCACTTTCTAATTGTAAACAGGCAAGGAATATGGGTTTTTAGCTTTTCTTGATTTTGTAGCTACAGCTTATAGCCTCAGATAGCTTTCCTCCATCATGTATCATAATGGAGGTGGGGCATTTGGGAAGATAAGCCTTACCTTTGATCAGAAGATCACAGTAAATCACTGGTGTTGTCACGTGATCTTTCTTCTTCCCATTCTCTTATTATCTGTAGCTATATGGTAAGTTCAGATTAACATTTGAGCATAGGACAAACCTCATGGGTTCTGTTAAGATGGTATTGGTCTCCTTTTAGAAGAAAGTGTTGTTAGAAATATAAGAACAATCTTTTGCATATTAATCTTTTTCCATTACTTCCATCAGTGTATCAAAACTTAGGACATTTTTTAAAAATTTTATTGTTGAAAGTATTATAGATATCTCCCATTGCTTAGGACATTGTAAATTTACTTTTCTTCCCATGTTGTATCTTAAGGTGTGATTAATTGCCTTTTCTCAATTGAAGTGCTTTGATAGGAAATAATGAGCTAAAACCTAGTGGTAGTTTTTCAGAGCATAATATTTTTTAAACTAGTTCCATTTGAGGCCCGACTATTCATTTAGTTTTTAGAGCACTTTATGAATCCTCAACTATATCTGTTATCATTTGCCATGCTAGAACTTTCCAAGTGAATTATCATTAGAGTAATTTTTGAAGATGCTATATTATTCATTTTTTATTTTATGAAAGTCAGCTTTACTTCTTCAATACACATAAACTAGGTCCATTCTTTAAGAAAGGTTTTTAGATTTATCTACCTTAATGAATGGATAGAAATGACTTAGAATAATCATATGCAATTAAAATTTCTTGAATTTTGGAATGCTAAAATAGTTTCTATTGATTTTTATTTTTTAAAAAAGGTATATATAACAGAACTCTCTTTTTAAAAAAAGCCCTTTCTTGATAAAGAAAAGTTACTTTAAAATTTACCTTTATTCATTTGAATTATTCCTAAATAATAGTTAAAATTAAGAGATTTCATGGTCCTGCCATTGTGAATTAAATCCAACTTATTATAAATTAGAAGGGAATGTAATAATAAAGTAGTTTGTTCTGTGACCAAGGTGTAATAATCAAACTCTGCTTTGCCAACAGACCAAGTCTGTGTTTGAGATTGGACTCTGCAGTAATAAAATGTTTTGCTACGCAGTTCTTGGATCCATCATGGGACAGTTATTAGTTATTTACTTTCCTCCACTTCAGAAAGTTTTTCAAACCGAGAGCCTAAGTATACTGGGTAAAACAAATGTTCTTTATGATTTATGTATTTTAGATGAATTATTGTATTTTCTAATGCATTTGTTCTAATAGAAATTTTCTCTTAATAAATTAATGACTTGATTTGAAAAAGGAGTGTGCTTTTTTTTTGCTCTTTTTTTAAATTGGGAGAAGGCTAGGGGAGTCACTCTCCTAAGTCTAGGCTTTAAAATTTTTTGCAATTTTTTTCTTTTAATTTTTTATAAGTTATTAATTGTCAAAATCATATTTGGGTTTTCTGAAATGTAGCAAATCAAAACTTGTTAAAGAGTAATTGTAGTTTATACTTTTCAACCTTATGTGAAGAGATTATATTTAAACTCGCTGAAAACCAAATTGCTTTTCTAGAAAATTATAATTTCGATAGTTAAAATAATATTTCACTATTCTTACTTGCTAATTTGTAAGTCTTATTTTATCAAATAATAGCCTGACCTAAAAGCAGAAAATTGTATTAAGATTATGTGGAAGATAGATATTATTTTTTCACGTAATATACATTAAATGTTATGGTGCAGTACATTTAAAAATTTATCTTCCTATGTAAGTATGAGGACTGATGTATTTATGGCAGTGCTACTTTCAATTCTTGGATTTTTAAGCTAATTTGAATATTTATGAAAATGAGTTATGCAGCCTCACTGGATTTTTATTATAAGTTTAAGTTTACCTTAAAAATGAACTAGTTTACTAATGTCAATATTTTAATTTTTATTAACATTCCTTCCTCTTAAAAAAAGAATGGAGTTTTAAGAAGACAACAGCAATTTCTCAAGTAGTAAATAAGAGTGAGATACTTTGAGTACTGTTGTAATGACATGGTCTTTAAAGATGAGTTCTCCTAGGCTTTCAAATGAAATAAATGCAAACTTCTGAATAACTTTTATCTAGGTGTTTTTCAATCAGGTTAGTTACCACTGCTTGAATAGCCTTTTAAAAAGACTGTGTGATCTGTTAAATAGAAAACTCTTGATTGTGGTCCTGTGAAAGGTTATGGTTATGAGCAGCGGTTCTCAACCTGTGGGTCGCGACCCCTTTGGCGGTCGAACGACCCTTTCACAGGGGAGGCCTAAGACCATCCTGCATATCAGATATTTACATTACGATTCATAACAGTAGCAATATTACAGTTACGAAGTAGCAACGAAAATAATTTTATGGTTGGGTCATAACATGAGGAACTGTATTTAAAGGGCCAGAAGGTTGAGAACCACTGGTTATGAGGTTATTTGTGGTTTAGGGAAAGTAGTCAGAGGACTTGGGCCCTAGTTCTCTGGCTGCTGCCTTTCATAGCTAGGTGACTTTGGAAAAGTCAATAACTTTGAGCCTGACTTTCCTTAATTTTATGCTGAGGCTGATGATACCTCATGGAATGGTTTGAAACAATGTATTTTAAAACCCGTGATAAAATGTTAGAAAATATAAGCTATTAAGTTTCAAAGAATTATAAAACCCAATTTATTTTCTCTTGCAGATCTGCTCTTTCTTTTGGGTCTCACCTCGTCAGTGTGCATAGTGTCGGAAATTATAAAGAAAGTTGAGAGGAGCAGGGAAAAGATTCAGAAGCATGTTAGTTCAACATCGTCGTCTTTTCTTGAAGTATGATGCATATTGCATTCTTTTATTTTTGCAAACTAGGAATTGCAGTTTGAGGATCATTTAGAAGGGCAAATTCAAGAGGATAATGAAGATTTGAGAACTTTTTAACTTTTCATTGACTAAAAATAAGCATTAATGCTAAAGACTTGATTGAAGACTTTAACCTGCTGACAGTCTCAAATGAAATTATGTAACTTTGATAACACATTCCTTGATTTAAATTGGCTTTTGAGATTGAGGGGAACTTTATAAAGCATATGGGCATTTATTTAATAAAAAATAAAAAAAAGGTACACCTAAACCACTTAAAGAGGTCTAACAATACAAATACACTGTCTATCTTAGATAGATATAAATATTTTTTTTAATTTTTAAATATTGTACTATTTATGGTGGTGGGGCTTTCTTACTAATACACAAATAAATTTAATCATTTCAAAGGCATTCTATTCGGTTTAGAAGTTGATTCCCAGGAGTGCCATAGTTCAGCTACTGTATTTCCTTTTTTCTGCAATGTAAGCAGCTCAAATACCTTGTGTTACCATTTTTGTATCTCACGTTTTTTGCACAGGATGTGACCACTGTCAGATCACTGTTCTTTTCTTTCTTTTTGTGACTGAAAAGCCGATTATGCAATTTGAAGTAAATGTTGCTTTTCGTAGTAAATATAAATGGTTGCTTATTTTTCCCCAGCTATGAGATCAAAATTAATATAGGGCTACCAGTGGCATTCTAGTTAGGTTAGTCATGTGTGTAGTTAACACTTAGTAAAAAATTCAAAAATATTTAAGACCGATTGGGCTGAAATTCACAAAAAAATAACATGTAATGCCTTCTTTTAGAGTTAAATATAAATACACACTTTGTCAGATACTATTTTGTCATCCCCTATATATAAATTCAAGTACCTCACCTGAATAACTGAATTTTTTTTATTTTTAATGTCCTTTTAAGTATCTTTCTTAGGAAGTTTAGAGTTGTTTTTTGTTGTTGTTGATTTTTGAACTTTAGAGTTTTATACTTAAGAATAAAAAAGCCTTAAGACCAAACAGGTGGTTTCAGAACTAGGATCTGTATGGAAGGTTCCATGCTGGCCTTGCTCTTCATGTTTCTGCAGCCTGTCCGGCCTAGATTGCAGCACAATCCTATCCCGTCTCCTACTTATTCCTGCCTTCTTTCTTTTCACTGGGTTTGCTAGAGCAATTGATGGACTTGCTCTTGTATTGCCATCAGTTTTTAGTATAGTTTAATGAGGTGTAGGTAATTTATTTAGAATGTATGACAAACTTGGGCCAGACATTCAAAATTACAAATCCATTTTCCTATTGACTTTCTTTCTGAAAGAAATGGGTCCTAAATTTAATGTTTAATTCTTCCTGAAGTGAGTTTCATATTTTATAATTATTCTGTTTTCTAAACTTTCAGGATAAACCAGTGTAGGTTTTATCACCAATATTAAACTGTGAATGTGTTAACACTAAAATGTTGTTATCAATAATAGGGAAAATATCTATACTTTGAGTCCTTCTTAGTGAAACAGTTGAGTATAAGGAGCTGAGACATTTGTAATTTAGTCTACTTTACCCTTTAAGACTCAGTAGTCCAAAAGAAAAAAAAATGACTCAATAGTCAGATCTCCTTAGCTAGAACATGAAACCCATTGTCTAGTCAGCTTCATTTTTAGTGACATGATGTCTCACTCCTACATTCCTTAATGATTTTTCTTCTTTGTTACAAAGACTTGAAATACATATTGATTGCACATTAGACTTTTGCTTTGGCATTGTAGGTTCAGAGTACGATTCGTATGAAATAAATGTGCCTATTCTTTTGTTTGGTTTTTGAACAACAAAAAAAGATTTCATAAGTTAATGACCTTCCAGTTGGGATTGTTAATATTAAAAACATGGTGTTTAAGATAACAGAAATTAGGCAGTACTCATACTACATAGAATCTGCAATTTAAAGAGAACTGAAATGTGCAGTACAGATCCACTATATCCAGGTTTCAGTTTTCCATAGTGCAACAACAAATTCAAATATTTGTATATATATCTTCAATAGTATAATATCCATATTAGCATGGGTAATTTAAATGCTTTGCTGTCTAAATTTTTATTTTTAACCTCTTTTTTCAGTCCTAGAATTTGCTAGAGTTCCTAACAATACTAACTTACTTGATATTTTGCTGTTAGACTACCTCATAAAGTTATTTGGCCCCAAAGTGATTAAACATCAGGGAAGTAAAGAAAGAAACTTGAAATAACTCACAGTTCTCAGATGATCAAAACTGGCTGCAAAGAAACAAGGCTTAATGTGTTCTCTAACATTTTACTAGTTCATGATCCAGAGAGGAAACAGAGAAACCAGGCAATTTAAACCCCTCACCACCCCCCTCAGCATACAGACTTTATTTAATCGCTGTGACCACACTCAAAAGGATAAAACACATTTTTTTTACCTTTCATACTTATGCAAGGTACATCTTTTACGTTGGTAGTCTTTCTGAAATCACTTTAAATTTTTATCTCTTTTATGTAGGACATAAAGGGAATATTGGTCACACTTAAAATAGTTTCTCAATGAAATGAATTGGTAGCAAACAATAATAAATACCTTATCTAAGAACCTTAATTAACTTTACCTTGCTTTCTGCCTTTGTCATTTGGCAATTCATGAGCATTTTACTTCCACATATGACTCACCCAAAAACTTTTATTTAGTAGCTGGAGTGCACAGGAATAGGAAGGTGATGGCATCCACACCCTTGAGTGGTTCATGGACATGCTTAACAGGAGATATAACTGTTACCAAGCTGTTTCATGAAAGATAGCAATGCACATTTATTTTAAAGATATATATAACATTAAAATGAATCTAGCATACGTTTTACAGGCAGTTTACCTTGACATTGGCATTTTGAGATCTTTGAAATGCCCTTTTAGACTAAGCTGCAATCCAAACAGTAGCTGATTTGCATACTAAAACATGATGTGGGTAAATAGTAATCCCAACTGGTATATGACTGGACAGACATACCATCCTGATAATTAGGTGTCCTTGAGCTCAGTTAGCACTTGATACGGTTATTGACTTTCTTATAGGACAGTCTTATTTGGGATTTTGGTTTTCAGAGTTGGTTTTTAACAATTGGATAATGGTTAACCAATCCTTGATATTAATCTATATATGTAAAAGCCTAAGCGACCATTACGCCCAGGTGACTGGATGACCAGTCGGTAGCTATGATGCACACTGACCACCAGGGGGAAGACGCTCAACACAGGAACTTCCCCTGGTGGTCAGTGCACTCCCACAGCCAACCTCTCGCTGCCAGCTGGCCCCCGATTGGCCCTGATCACCGGCCAGGCCTAGGGACCCAACCTGTGCATGAATTCATGCACCAGGCCTCTAGTGTAGATATAACAGTTTGAAAAAAATGTTGTAGGTTTAGATTTATTAAGAAATAAGAGGTAGTTTCTTGCCTTTGGGAAGTCCTCAATCTTAACTCTGGAGAACAAATGAAATACATCTAATACAGTGATAAATGCTGACCCAAATGCTGCAGTAGCCAAAGGAGAGAAGTAACGTCACTGGACAAAGTTCCCACATTTCCCAGGACTAGTGGCATCTGAATTAATCCTTAAGTTGGGAATCTCCAGCCAAGAAACAGCAGGATATTGCGACCAATGGCAAAGCCTCTGCAGGGGTGTGGTTGGGGCTGATGGGACTGTGAGAACCACAAGGAGTCAGGCTGCTCAGGCATGAAATCCGTAATGTGAGGCTTAGCGAGACAGGAGCCTCGTGGTAAATAAAAAACTTGTAACATACTATAGGATTTCAAGAGTGGGATATGAGTTTGGATTTTTGTCTTGTAACATGATGATGGAAGCACAGAGGGTAGATTATAAAAACAAAACAAGGAGACTGACTAGAATATTGTAGAAGCGTAAAGGGTTGAGCTGTGGCAGTCACTATGGAAAGAAAGTCATAAAATATCTATCTTCTAAGAGATAGCATTGACCTGACAAGACAGAAAAGGAAAAAGTGGAAGGTACCCCAGTTTCTGGCTCTCAGCCTTCAGTGGGACACAGGTCAGTTTGAAATGTGAATTTTGTGGTGTTCTTGAAATTTGCCAAGGGACATGTTAGATGAGGTCTCTAAAACAGAATGAATTAAAGCCATGGCTGACAATGTAGTAGGAAAATATTTTCATGTTACAAGCATCTCCCCCCTCGCCCCCCGTAAAAGTAAAGCAGCAAGTGAATATAAACTCAGCTTTGACAGAATAAGATATTTTTTGAAAGTAGAAAAATCAGCAGTTCTGTAAATTCAGGCTCCTTTGTTACAGAGTTTTCAAAATGAATCTGTTATTAAGGTACTTCACGGGACCACCAGTGGTCTGCGGACCACCGATTGGCAACCGCTGCTCCAAAGGTTTCCTTAAACCAGCAGTTGCCAACCTTTCGGACCTCATGGACCACCAGTGGTCCACTGGTTGGCGACCGCTGGACTAGAAAACACTGGTAACATTTTTTTCATGTTTGCATTAAGATACTTTCTTAAGAGGTGAGAAAATATATATAGCAAAGAACTGCATAGCTTGGACTGAAATTTGCTGTGGATGGAAACCCAATAAGTGACTAGCATTAACGTTATAAAATAGCTACTTGCTCCAAACAAGCAATTTATGGTAGGAAAGTAGAAAACTTTTTTTTTTCATTTCCATTTTACTCATAATTCTTCCTTGAATCTTTTTAGCCTCATATGCCACACAGTGTGCCAACACGATCCACTTACTGGTCTTTTGGGACACTAGTCCTTAAAATTCTTTTTCCTTGCCTCAATTTTGAGGAACAGAATTTTTACCTGTTTTTCAAAGACCAGCTGAAGAGGCAACCTGGATGGCCTTTCCAGATTGCTGTAAAGCCGTGTGTGTGTGTGTGTGTGTGTGTGTGTGTGTGTGTAGTACAGTTTATTGTAAATACTATTAAGCATAAATGCAGCCATAAGTTTGGATATAAAATTGTGGGATTTTATTTTTTAGAAAGCATTAAAAATTTAAGTCCAAGCCACTTCATTGATAAATCTAGGCAGAAATTTGATCTTTTTTTTATTCAAAATAAATTTAAGTGGTGAAATTTGGGGAGATAAGTGAAAAATATTTGAGCTATTAGTTTTTTGGTTGCCATTCGTTGATTTTTAATTTTTATTAAATTTATTGGGGTGATACTGTTTAATAAGATTATGTAAGTTTCAGGTTCTATAATACATCATCTGTATATTGTATTGTGTTGAGCCATTAGTTTTGATCCTTGTAAGTTTTTTTTCTAATCTAAACATACCAATGTTCCTGTGCATACATGAGCATAGCTCCCTGTGTTAGTACAGCTGCTCCAGGTAGCAGTATTCATGTGCAGATCACTGTATACACTTGACTTTGCCATTTCTTTTCCTTTTTGCTCAAGTCTAGCCAAATTGACAAATATCCTGGCAAAGTCCACATTTCTGTGGTGGCTCCATGGCTGATCGGCCTGGCAGAACTGCCTTTCAGATCTAAACCAAGGTTGCCTTATCACCGTTATTTCTTCAGCAATATTGCATTGTTCTGTGTAGTAACCCTCTGAGTAGAAACCGCATCTCACAGTATTAACAATACACAGTGC